AAAGTGCTCAATCTACTGCATGCTGCCACAACAGAAGGTCCAAGACAATCTTAAGGCATGGTGTGGTAGTCTTCATATTATAAAACAGCAATGCGCGTAAAAATGAAAAGGTTAAAATATGAAAACGTATATGACAACTTAAAGTAATTGTACCTTTGCAACCATGTATGCGTCAAATAGGTTACTTGTTTCAGAGGTAGGAAAAATAACTACAGTATTCTTAAAATTATGCATTTCTAGAATGAAATAAATAGTATGTTTTAGAGAAAGAGTAATGCTATCAATGATAATTAGTTTTTTAGCGATATGCGAAGCAGGTTTCATTGTGTAAACACTTTGAATTTATGGCTTCCCTAGTACTTCTTCATCATTTGACTGTATTTATTAATTATATCAATATACTGTTCAACGAAACAGTAGTATTAGTAGTGTGAGTCAAGACAAGACTGACCAACACTGTAACAAGGTTCAGGCTGTTTGTAGTCGGCATGCCCAGTACTTGACGTAACAGTGCGCAATAGCGCAATCGCCCGCCAACGAGCCCATCATCATTTTTGGTGAAGAGGATAATAGAAAAGGAAAAGTGATGAGACGTGACCGACGCCTAGCGGCTAACGAGCCGATCCGAGGTGAAGGGGATAAAGAGAAAGAAAGAAATGATAATTAACACATGTCCATATATGCTACACTACTTCACGTTGCGGTGACGATAAATACGGTCGATCTAATTACTTTATAAGTTTACATATGTATATAATTATAAAATAATATGATCAGTAAAATTATATCCAACTGTTTTACGCGTAGACGTCATACTTTTGGGAATACTGCGCACCTTTTAGCGCAGCATCGTCGCGAGTTGCCAGTAGCCAGATAAACAACCAAAGTAACAGTGTTGTTTGAGACACGATGAGGAGGAGTAGTGTCCAACAGTTGCGGTTTCATTGTTCAGTTACTTATAGTGCTGTGACACGTTAAACTATAATATCCAAAGGCTTGGTAGAGCTTTGCAGTGTAATTAAACTCAAATTAGATTTCAAAAGGTAACTCGATGTCCGATTTATGATAATACTCACATTGGAGAATTAAATGAATGGAGAACCCTAGGAGAATTAGAAGCCTCAGATCTGTTAGAAGACCATCGTATTTTTATACATCAAACGAGCCATTGTACGGTATAATATTACTTTTGTGTTAAAATTAAAGAAGTATAGACCATATCTTTAGTGTTAGAGCAAGTTTAGGAATATATATATATATATATATATATATAAATATATATATATATATATATATTGATAACCAGTTCCCGCGCTGTAATTCACGTCTTCAGGGGTGAATTACACGAAAGCGCTTTGAACTTCTTCTTTCCTTTGTGGTTATCCTTTTATACTCAGTCACTGCACCACAGTGATTTACTTGCATATATATATATATATATATATATATAGGCTGATAACCACAAGGAAAGAAGAAAACACGTGAGAGCACTGACTGTGAGAGATAGTGTTACAGTGCAACTAAAATCATGCCATGTATTCCATTAAGAGTACAAGGTTGATTTATACTCTGTGCCTGTCATTGTTTAAGAACCGAGTAATACTGGTAAAAGCATGCTATTCTGTGCATCAGAGTCTTACACTTTCGTTGTTCAACATGATTGTTAAAGCAAATGGTTACCTGTGTAACTGTACTCTTTATGAGTAGCTCCTTCCAAGACTGTCCAATGCAGGTACAAACGTGTAGCGTGACGTCACTCATAAATAGCCTATCATAGGGCAGTCGCTTGAGCGTGACGTCACCATACGTCATTACACAGCCAATCAGAGGCCTCATTACAGTGTCCCGAACGTTCATATCCTTGCGAAGCTACAGTAGGTGTTACAGAGAGTGGTGCAATGGATCACGGCATCTCGAAGCTTCTCTCCTATTGGATACCAATAGTTCACACGTACATTAACAAAATGTTGGCATCTAATTTCACGTTAGGACTCATAGTAAATCATGTAAGGCAATATTTATGGGTAAAATTCCCGAGCTCTGGAATTGTTTTACATTGCACTTTCAATAAGAATAATGTTTGGATATAAATATGGGGTAGTGGCGCTACGACATGAAAACGGGGGCACGAGCTTCGTTTGCTGCAGTCTTCAGACGCTCTAACGCTTCATCACGGTGCAGTCTTCTGACGCTCTAACGCTTCAGCAAGGTGCAGTCTTCAGACGCTCTAACGCTTCAGCACGGCTCTTAGATAAATTTAAAGGGTAGTGCAAGGATAATTATAGGATGGCGCCAGGATGCATTATTATGGCGAACACTGAATACCGTGTAAGAAAAATATCCAAAGTTTCCTCGGTGTTTTCTTAGGTTAAGTTGTGCTTTTGGGCCATAAGTGAGTTAGGAATATTCACTCATAAGAGAAAACAGAACCGCCAACCAAAAGTAGTATAATTAATTTTGATAAAGCATTGATGGAATATGATTTTGCTTAGTCGAGCCACAAGTTCAGAAAATTGTCAGGACATTTTTTTTTAGTGAGTTGTTTTGGAATAACCTGCCAGTGTTGTGACGGCACTGGGAGTGAGCTCATTCGTGACCAGACTTTACCAACAATGGGGCAAGGTTGAAGAAGCCGCAAGTCCATAAAACTGTGAGGGCAAACTTTTTCGCAGTGAGAGTTGTGAATTCTTGGAACAACCTGCCAGTGTTGTGACGGCACCAAGTGAGAACTCTTTCAAGACCAGACTGGAGCGAGTTCAGATACATTCAGGAGCCAGTACTTGCTAACAGAGAAGTGACTGACCGCCCAAGCGGCTAACGAGTCGATTAGTGGCGAAGAGGATACAAGTAAAATAAGTAAAAGTATGTCCAATACTTGCGGACAGTTCTGCCTTGTCCAATATTGACGAATTTTTCAATAGTTACAACTTGCAACACCCCCTTATGTTAGGATTCCATTCACGCATTGGCAGTGCGTTTGCGTTTTCAATCGCTACGGGGAGCGATTGGCATGCACTGCAAACACTACCGCAACCGTGCCAATGGAAACAACCGTGAACATTTCAATGTGATCTATTTGTGGCGCGAACGCAACCACTAACGCTTGAATGGAAGCCTAGCTTTACCATGAACAAAATATAAAAACGGAAATTAACCATTTTTACCAAAGCACTTGGTAACTATCGTGTCAAAATGGTAGCTTCGGTAAGATATCGCACGGGCAATTAAGAAAACAGAACAACCACGGAAAACCTTCCTTTCTCACGGAACCTCCTACACGGAGTAGGGGAGGAGGCGGTGTTCAACAAACTGAACAAGCACTCAGTACCCGGTGTTACCATAGTATGTGGTCTACCGAGCTGGAGTTGGTTTACAGGGATATTTACACTGTAGCGTCTATTCACCCAACCTATCTTAACCTAACCTAAGGTTAATGGATGTTTAGTAAATATCCCGGAAGATACAACTCCAGCTCGGTAACCGCATACTGTACTATAATAATAGCACCCACTCGGTAGACCGCATACAATAGTAGCACCCAGTACCCACTCAGTCGCACGAGGTTCTTGACACCTGAGTAAAAATGAGGTAGGGGCGGTGTGCAATAAGAACAGTCCGACACCTTAACATCGACTAGTGTGTTATGCCCGGTTTTGGGGAGATCCACATTCCCTTTGAAGTAAACAGTAAGGGGCAACTTTTTCTCGGGAAAGTGTATTAATCAGGTACCAAGATTCACACTGTATTTACTAAATACAGTTTATGTACTAACTATTGGTGAGCCCACCGTATTTTGATAACATTCAGTTACCTTGGGTTGGGTATTGATGGAAATTAGAGGTTGGGAGAGGTAAAATAGGGAAATGGATGCAGCTGTAGAGCTGTAAATTTATTGAAGTGCAATTCGTGGCTCCATAATTTACATCAGCTGGTTAAGCCGGCATTTGTTTTTCAACGCTTGTACAAGACGTGCCAGACGTATGATTTCTTAGTCATCTTCACGCAGAACAAAGTTGCTCAAGGAATGATCGTTTGTTTGGAAATGGGAAAATAGATGAAATATTAAAGAAATATAGAAATTTTGCATCTAGAATATAACTATGTATTATAACTAATTATATGAAATATTAGGGATTTATGTGAGTCCTGAGAGGGACATTCCTGGACTGGGGTGAGGATGACTTATGTCACTTCATCCCTTTGAGATGTATTAATGTTTTTTTGTATCTCAATAAACGTATCAATCAATCAATCAATGATCTGTTTTGAGATTGTGTTTAAGAGTACTCTTCATAAAAAAATCTGTGAATATATTTGATGTCATATTTATACAATATAAGATGATGTTGGGGGAGGGCATTTCTTTTTACAATGAAGTTAACGTTTTAATATTAGAACATCTGGTGGTTAAAGTTTGCTAACATAATTTTGAAATATGAGTAAAAAAAATAGTTTAGAAGAGCTCAGCGTTCTGATTCCGTAATGTTATTTTTTTTATTTCTTTATGGTTCTTTATTATTATTATTATTATTATTATTATTATTATTATTATTATTATTATTATTATCATCATCATCATCAGTGTTATTATTATTATTATTTTATTTTTATTTTTATACTTTTTATTTATTATGAACTAATTATTATTATTATTATATTTTCGTCCCCAGGCCCCGACGTGGGTTAGTGACCTGTGCCCGGGTGGGCTAATCTCCGAAAAAAAAAAAAAAAAAAATATATATATATATATATTAATCTTAAATTTTGAAGAAATACTGAGCATAGTCCTGATCGGTTTTTTCCTCCTTTTTTACCAGCCCGAGGCCTCGTGTGACGGACGGTTTCGGCCTCCCCTGAGTCCTGAAATCAAGAATATACCGCCTGTGCCACCTAGCGTACCCGAAGACTACTTAGCTGGCACACCATCCCCATCACCAGTGATGGCTCCATTACAGGCTTCATCACAAATGATAAATTATGTGCAGCAGACACAAGCTCCATCACAGATGTCTACACTAATGACGAATTCTGTGCAGCAGACACAGCCTCCATCACAGATCATGTTTACACCGCTGACGAATTATGAACAGCAGACACAACCTCCACCACAGATGATGTCTACAGCATTTATGAATTCCACGAACCAAACTCAGGCATCATCACATATGATAGAAACTTCGGTGACAAATTGTGTGCAGCAGAACCAGGCTCTGCCGCAAGTGAAACATGTACAGAATCTCACGATCTCTGCTCAGCAACAGGTACAGTAACCACACAAATACAGTATTTACATTAGATTAGGTATTTAATTGAATAGGTCAAAATATTGATGTACTTTCGGAAAAGGGCCCCGTCTAATTTGGGGGTATTTTTCCAAGGGGATTACTCTGAAAATTCAGTGTGGAAGCATACCCAGACATTATGTAGGTGATATCTGATTGATTCTGATGGTCTGCTTGATCAATGAATTTCATACTAATGTCAGTAATTCCTCATTTTATTGTGGATCTGGTGTGAGTTCCTCATTGATATTACCAAATAAATAAAGTAACGCAATAAACAGGATAGCTGAATAAATGTGGTACAGTTGCTGAAATGTGTTCCTTCGCTCCCCTGTGGTAACCCCCGTCTCCAAACTGCAAACCTATATGACCTATAGCAAACCTTATCCACCAATCACGTCCGTCGTTGCACAACCAATAGTCCAATACCTATTAATTCATAATAGTGATACTACTACTACAATTGTGCCGTGTAGACTCACAGGTCACTAAAATTAGATAACGTTGATATAAAATCACTTGGTGGCCATTCATAATAATGACACTGAATAGTGTACGTATATATACAAGGGATAATTGCTACTTACTATCTTAATTCATTTACAGCCCATGCAGCAGTTTGTTGCCGATGAGCAGTCACCAACATCAGAGATGCACATTCAACCTAATTTTGGTCTTTCACAAAGCCATATTTATCAAGTGGAACCTGAGGTGAGTAGACGTTGAATTCTAGTAATTTCTGGTATTTCTAGAGCACAATGTTATTATAAATACTGTATGTCTTCATTTTCAGGAATCGAATCCAATAATTCCAGTCTCTTGAATTAGTTTTGTTTACGCAAAGTAACTATGGTAGGGGGACAACGTAAACAAATCCACATCATAGACACTAGGCTTTTCCTTATTTACATTGGATTATCGGTGTTGGCGTGTCATTAATGCTGTAGCCATTGCTTTGGTCGACTTTTCTTTCCATTTTCTTATACAAATAAATAAGGCTCGATTGTTTTGCCATGTTAATGGTAACGGAGCTAGTGTGGAACTGCGCTGGTATACAACCACTAGCGTCTGCGTCACACGCAGGACAAGTGGAGTGCATAGTTACCAGACGCACGAATTCCCGCCCAAATCAACGGATTAGATCTCGAGTGATTTTGTTTTTCAGCTAGAATTATTACATGCCAAAATAAACGAGGAAGCAGTATAATAGTATCAAATTTCATGTTATCATTCTATAAATTGCACAGTACAAATGACCGAATTTCAGGAAACTCGACTCGGGTTTTTAAATCATCAAACTTAGACGATGATATAAATTTTCACCCTGTTTTTTGTCAGACTACAGACCCACACAGAAGATACCAAATGTTTGGTAATTAAGAGATTAATTATCGACCACCTTTGCTAACCCGTTTTTGTATGAGGAAAGTGGATGGGTTGAATGAGTAACAGAATTTGTTGCGTTAGATATAGCTGATGTGTTATCTTAGTCCAGGGTTATCAGAGAGCCAAGATGAGGTAAGATAATACGTTTATGGTTGCATATATTTGTTTCTCTGGTCAGTAACTTGAGAGTAGTAAGGTCAAACTTGCACGACAGGTTACTAGTTGTAGATTTAGAACTAATTATGCATATGTGCTGTCATCTGCCCAAGATTGCCATAATATACTTAAAGTAGGTACTGTATATCAAAGTAGTATCTTGTCCAATCGCTAACTCTAAATTGCATATGTAAGTGAATTTAAAGCTAAATAAATTCTAGTCTTCAAGGATGTGTGCAGCAACAAGATATTGTCATTTTTTTACTATTCAAGGTTGTTCCAAATTCAGTGTAACTTGGAAATTTTGGAGCGACATACAGTACACTGTATGTGATTTTCAGTAATCACCGTATACATTTAGTCTCTTCAAATCACATCGATGGACCTTGTAAACCTCTTGGATAAAATTTCTAGAATCCACGTCTCGAGTCGACTGGCCTTAGTCAAATCATCGGTACCTGTACTTTAGCTTGGTGATTCACTCAAGTTGTTGGCGCTTGCTTCACTGGGTTACATACCACTTAGACATTCCCAAATAGACGATTGACAACTTAACCAATCCTAACCGAACCGTCTACGTGGAATGGCAAAATTAGCATAAAACAGGCGATCGTCCTGATGGGAATCGTCCATGTGGGATGACACCCTTCACTGTGTGCACTCAGTGCTCAGCAGAAGTGGATATTATTTTTTACAGGTGATAAGTCGACAGTCCTAGCTCTTCCAACAAGGATTGGACAAACGGCATGCTGATTGGCGGTTGTATACCAGTGGTGTAGTTGGTGGGCGGCGGAATGGCAAACGACTGGATGGGCGGTTGTATACAGGGAAGCACTTGGTGGGAGGCGGAATGGGCGGAAGAATTACATTTCGGGCTGCTTAGATAATGGGCTGTCAGGTGAGTGGGCGGTGTAGGTTTTGGGTGGCCTGTAGGTGTACTAACGAGGTTGCTTGTAGGCAGTAGATGTATAGGATGGGTGAGAAATACCTGATATATTGTCATTTATACGTGAAATAAAGATGTGTCATGAATTTCTCGCACACCCTTGTATAAGTATGAGAGGTTGAAACGATTGTTGGTGGTACAGTACATAGAACGGTTGTGGTTAGCAGTGCATGGAGCCATGCATGGTGTCTGTGCAGCAGCAGACTGGTAGCGAACGTGCAGGAACATGTCCAGAGCGTGTGCAGAGGCGGGAGGTGAGCGAGGAGTGGCGCAACTGGTGGTGGCGGCGGCAGCGCCGGTGGTGGCAACCAGAGCTTCACTCCGTCACCACCACCACTCGCGACCACTGCGGTGTTTCTCCCTTCTTGGTGAGCCTGATATTCTTTTGCAGGAAAAACTCTGTCTCTGTATATCTTACAATAACCACAGTTTACAGGAACTAATTATCTCCCCTATTTAGTGTTTCCAAAACTTTAATTTTATATGTTTTAGTGTTATATATTTCTTGTGTATTTTTTGGTAATGGAATTGCAAGTGACTGATTTGAAAATGGTCTTCAACTAAATTAATCATCTAAACAAAAAGATAGAATTTGTTCATTTCATAGTAGGGCGGGCTTAGGCTGTGTTAGACATTGTATTTTGAGTTTGAATGAAAGCGAGGCATTGGCCAAAGCTTGTCACGATTAACTTGTGTCCTTATTTTGTTCATATTTAAATTTCAAAATCAGTTCCATTTTCGTGTTAATTACGTCTAGGTCATAAATACTGTAGTGTAAATTTAATTTTGTCTGTCGTGCCCAGCTCATAATTAATCAAAGTCTGTGGCCTGGCTTATAAATTATCAAAAAATCTGCTGTCTGTGACCCAGCTTATAATTCACCAAAAAATCTGTTGTCTGTGACCTAGCTTATAATTCACCATAAAAATTGTTGTCTGTGGCATAGCTTATACAGTAATTCACCAAAAAATCTGTTGTCTGTGACCTAGCTTATGATTCACCATAAAAATTGTTGTCTGTGGCATAGCTTATACAGTAATTCACCAAAAAATCTGTTGTCTCTGGCCTTGCTTATAATTCACTAAAAAAATCTGTTGTCTCTGGCCTAGCTTATAACTCCTGAAAAAGCCTATTGTCTGTGGCCTAGTTTATAAACCATCAGTCTTCCCGCGTTCAACTTGGTGTCCAGTTCTCAGTAACAGATTTTGTTTGTTTGACTAGATCGTCTTAGGGGTAAGTATAATTGATTAAGGTCGAAGTAGTAATATGTTCCCCCCTTTACATTTTGTGAGGTAACAATGTACAGTATATCTCCTTGTAAATTATATCTAAAGGGATATTTTTTAGTATAATTTAGAATGGTGTAGTTGTCAGTGCTAGCTGGATTACAACGCCCGGGATGATAAAATGTATAACTAGGCGACATGATTGAATATGCATATTTTTTTAATACAAGTTGAATTTTTTTCTTGGTTCAACGTAGAGCGTCGAACATGAGTTCTTGTTAAGGTGTGTGTGTGTGTAAAATTTCAACCGACACTCGTAAACGAATACAGCCATGTAGTGTGCCACCTTCAATTTAGTTATGGAATGTTACTGATGGTTTGCGTGACATGGCGTTTTCACCATTCAAAAACATCTATGGCAAGTGACATATTGTACATCGTAATGACTTGGCAAACTATTGATTAATAATGTCGGATTGATACCTAGGTCCATAATTTATTATGTACTCTTTAGATCTTGGTATGAACGAGGATCAGTTTACGTGGTCAATGAATCGCAAGCACCGTTTGGAAATGATCCTACGCCGTAATTTGATCTAAACTGCTACGTATTAAATGATTATAGTTGAGCTTTTTGTGGAGGGGCTTATTATATTTTTACTGAAATCCCTAGGAGTTAGGTACTTGAATACTGGCACAAAATATGATTTATCGTTTTATGTGTGTGCGTTTGTCTCCTAGTAACACTCAACTGTATCTACAGCGCACATGCTAGTAGCTATGTAATATCAACACGTATCCTATAGTATCCTCGCATCTACCATATACTGTATACCTAAATAGCCACATACAAACAGCATACACAGTAGTATTTTAGGAACCATGAGTCTACCACATTGTAACCTAGTAGGTTGTTGGCAGCTATCAAACGGAGGTACTACCGCCTGGGAAGATATTGGAAGCTTAATGTGTCGTCTAATGGTAGGCCCTGCTGCTATATGGCATCACGAAAATTGTGACCAAGTCCCAGGTTGCTGATCTGACTTGCTGCCTCACACACAATTGCAGGGTCTCAATTGTTTCTCTTACTTAAACAACACATCATACATATATCGTTTCTCACTGTTGATTTTTTATTATTTTTGTATTTCTTTATGGTTCTTTATTATTATTATTATTATTATTATTATTTATTTTTTATTAAAAATTGTATTTAATTTTTAATTTTATATTTTTATTATAAATTTTATTTATTATTATTATCATCATCATTATTATTATTATTACTATCATTATTATTATTATTACTACTACTACTACTACTACTACTACTACTACTACTACTACTACTACATTTTCGCCCCCAGGCCCCGATGTGGGTCAGTGACCTGTGCCCGGGTGGGCTAATCCCCGTAAAAAAAATAATAATAAATAAGAATAAATAAATAAATCTAATATATATGTCCTAAATGGCCGCTTATGTCCGCATGACCACTTAGTTTGTGCATATTATACTGATCATGTGAACACCACCCGTATTAAAAGTAACCCGTATCTATTTACAACATTTGGTTATATGGTTTTAAAAATGTGTCCATACCAACTTTTGCTACCAAGTATCCGGTATAGAACCACAATAAAGGCGCCAGGTATTTTCGTCGGTCGTTTATTGTGTAAATTAATATATATATATATATATATTTTTTTTGAAGTTTGACACAATGAGTAAAGGATTAGTGTCTGCTGCTTCGACTTTGACTCTGTGTGCGTTACCTTAGGTAGTCTACAAGCTTTACCATCTCATATTTTAGGTGCTCGGGAAACAAGGCATTGTGTAAGTGTACTCAAATATACCTACGTACATATGCGTACACGTGTACATTCATAAAGACATTTTCACAAACATGCTATCTTGTTTACACTTAGTTTTAGCTTTGCCACATAGCTAATATTACAATGTTGGCAGTTGTGACGCAGGTTGAATCACAAAACATTAA